TGCACAATTCCAGTCCATTCGAGTGAAACAATCAAAAGAGGAACAAATCAATTTGGCTGTCGTCATGACTAAATATCAGCTTAAACAACATAAATGCAATTCAGAAAGAAACACATAGAAATCCAGTAAAGGCAGAAGAAATCAAAACTACAATAAAATACAAATATTATCATCTCGGAAATGGAATCAAATAGACTAACAAACTCAATGTACAACTGAAGAAATTTGAATAAGCACAAATTACAAATACATACACGGAGGGATTTTCACAAACAAAACCTTCAAAAAATGGATCTTACAACATTCATGAACTCTGTTTTCGGATATCATAAAATAACCTCAGTTAAGGTACCATTAAACGAGAGTACTAAATAGCTACTTTCTATTTTTAATAATCAAACTCCTCAACACTGTGTGTGTGTAATTACACTCTTGCCAGTTATGTAACTCATTACCTTTTAGAAATATTCTCAGATCTAACATATTTTCCCCGTAAACAAATAAGCCTATTTTGAAACAACTATTCTCGAAATTAGCTTTAAAAAACAAATTTTTTTTTCACTTTTTAATCGATTAAAACACTATTGTGTTTCTGCAGCATTTACAATCGACAGATTATTGATTTTTTTTACTTTACTTTATCACAGTCAATAAGTGTCATGTGTGTCAATGTAAGAAAAAAATGAATGATTTATGCAAATGATTGATTGATTAATTAAGTAGTTTGAATGAATTATCAAAGTTATAGTGTTGTTTGACTATTTCAAGTCATCAAAAGATGTGTCTGGTGGTTTTTTGTTAAATTTTCAATATACTGTTTGTTTGATCATGCGAATTATCATGTGTTCACAAGTGACTGGCGCCGTGAAGAAGTTTCTTCGAGGTATAGTTAGAAGTTGTGACTAGTGGAGTGAAGATAGTGAGTGAAGCTGCACAAGACCCTGGATTGGTCGAACTTAAACATCAACGCTGTTATATACCGGTCCAATGGTCCAGAGGTTAGGTATTCGTGTGCAAGAACGAAGGTTCAGGGTTCGAGTTCTGTGAGTGGCAGGAGTCGTGGATGCTCACCGCTACTGATCAGTCCTATACCAGGACGAAACGGCAGTCTTTCAGTGCTTCCAAGTTTCTGGTTGGCAGTCTAATATCGATCGATTCATGATTTCAAAAAACAATATATTATTGTATGGTAATATTTCCATCACTGCATCCACGGTGAAGAAATTAAAGCGAATTAATTGGTTTGATTAAAGACTTAATTTAAGACGATTTTTGAAAAAAAAAGATCACTGTTGAAACACTTGAAATGGAATGATATAATCCTGACAAATTTAAGCCAACATAATTCCCATTGTACACAATTATACGAATCAATATGTTGAGTAGAATATAAAAATTTTAAAAATCTTTTGGTGTCAAAATCATATAAATAACTGTTCTTAATCATTGAAGAGTTGTGGAAATTGTTGAATTTCATTGAAATCATGAGCTGATCTACGTTCGACAAGCAATGAAAACCTAGAAGCACTAGACGATCGTTTCTTTCATGTCCTTCCACACTGTAATTGGGTCCGATACCTTCGATCTCACAAGAGAATGCTTAACCTCTAGACCACTAAATTCGCATCCAAGATGATTGTACAGTGCTGAGGATTGATTGAAGTGAGAGATTAGCAGTGATGGATACCGGTCCAGTAGTCTAGAGGCTAAGCGTTCGACTCCAGCGAGCAGACTCGTATATGTGCACTAGTGAAGAGTCACATAGTAGGACAAAACATCGGTCCAACACTTTCAGAGTTTCACTGGTCTTCTAGCATAGATCAGTTCATGATCTAAGCTATTAACTGTTATATCTTGAGTAAAAGTAGGTTGACATTTTTAAAGCTTAATAATTCCTAAGCTCTATAACATACTGTATTTCTAGTCAGACCAATGAACAATCCCACAAATTCACACACTAATCAATGAACAACAAACATGAACTCACCACTTATTGGTCTTCAATTCCCTTACTAATTTAGTGACCAATCAAAAGACAATGATAAAAGGCAGCTTGATTTCCTATCATAACAACACACTAAAAATACTTGACCTCACAGGATCCTTAATTAAGAAATCACACACACAACACAATCATACTATAAATGATAGAGAGTCGAGTAAACAGTCCGTAAACAAACAGCTATAATCAAAGAATGAATAATTATAGTTTCTGATAGAATAGTGAGAAGACAATAATTGATCTGAAAATAGGTGATGCATTTATATGGACACAGATACATAGAGAAAAGTAATCGGACATTGTGATCAAAGGTTATTGGAACCTTTACCTAAGTGGCTTCATAATCAGTTAATGTCAGATGACCTGATAAATGTGAGAAACACAAAACCATGTTCATCGATTGTAAAAAACATAAATGAGAGGGAGCATGAGATTGACATTAAGATAGCCTTTAAAACATTGTATAGAAAGGTTGAAGGACGTATTTTGAGGTAAATGTACACCTTGGCTATTGGTCAATAAAAACCCTCCCTATGTGTACAGAAACAGTTTGTTATAACTTTGAATTTACCTTAGTCATCTTAAAGCCATGTTTTGGCCTAGGTGGTAATGTGACAAATTCCTATCCTTTCTTATTCTTTCTAAATTACGCTAATTTTCTCTCTCTCCTTCATGATTACAATGATCACCTTATGTTTATTTGAACTTTTATTTATAAGTGACCTTTAATAAATAATCTTCATATAAAATGCCTTGACAAGTGTTCAAGTGTGACCAGATTGTTAGAAATATGTATAGTGCGAATACACCACCTTATTTTCAGATCAATTACGTCTTCGCCACTGTTCTGTCAACATTTATAAAAGGGGCTTCCTCGTCGAGCTACGTTTTGTGATCTAGGAATACGGTTGAAAGAAAGCCAGGGCTGGCGAAACCAAAAATGGCACCATATTCTACTTCTTGAATAATATCCTCGAACGCTAATCTCTCCGATTACTGCTAATACTTTTATTACCTCTACTACTATGGGATTTGAATTGACAGTTACGTCTCTGTGCTAATCTAGTCTGGTAACCTGAATTGATGTATGTACGTACGAAGTTCTACGTTGTAACTTACTGACTGACTAACTGTTTCACATAGTGCGTTCACTGGAAGTGTACAATAACAGTGAGATATTACATCATGTAACAATGTACTAGTTACCTACTGATTATGTAATAAAAATATTAGTAATAATAATTATAATTTAAGAAATAGCTTCCAGAGTTTTTTGTAACATGAAAAACTTGTCGGATGTAGGCAGTAACAACTACCAAAGACAAATAGGTGAGGTCATGCAAAATCCCTAGATCAATCAAAGTTGGACATTAACACCGTTGGATTCTGGCCGACCCAGTGGTCTAGAGGTTAGGTGTTCGCGCACAATACCGAAAGTCCCGGTTCCGACTCCTGCGAGGTTCAGGAGTCGTAGATGCGTACCGCCACTGATGAGTCACATACCAGAAATAAACGGCCGTCTTCCAGTGCTTCCATGTAGTCTAACAGTGATTGATTGATCATTTCAAACGTGTAAAAACACTAATCTTCTACATAACTCCAATTGAAAATAGAAACAAAAATGTATTACAACATACCTTATCACTGTTAGTTTCTCCAAAACAAATATCCTTACAATAAAATAAAATCATCATCTCTTTCAAGTTGATATCATGTTGTTATTACAAAATTTTTTAATAAATACTGGTTTATATACAAATACGTTTTCTCATCAATCCGCACTGATTAGACATTAGGAAATTTTCCTTTACATAAATAAGAACCAATCGAATTTTCAACTATTAACACATTGGATTTGCATAATTCTTATCTTATCAGTCTCGAATTAAATGAATATGGTTTTGAAATAAATTTCCACTGAATAGATGATTCATAATGATGATGAAAAGATTAAAATCTTTTCATCAAATTCACAGCGGTTTCTTTTGGCGGGTGAAAAACGAAGACACAAAGCGTATCAATCTACAACATCTCGGATTCACTCTGTTGGAAAAACCACACACACACACACACACACACACACACACACACAGCACACAGTGTTTGTGTACACCGGTTTGGTGTTCCCTAGTTCAGTTCTTTCGGGAGTGATAACGAAATATTTTTCTATTCATTTGTAACATAAACATTTTTTATATCAATTGTGAAAATTAGAACAACACATATAAGCGACTAATCGAAAACAATATTGTTCGCTTATATGTGTTGTTCTAATTTTTTATATCAGTCTTTCCGAAAACTGGAATTGTTTAGGTGTGTGAGTGTATGTGATTAGATTTAACAAATCAATTGGGTTAATAGTTTGTAATATTCAACACTGATTGATTGATGAGAAAGCTTTTGGGAAAATTAGTGAACATTCGAAAGTTGCTTGCTTTCAGACATGGAGCTCAACAGCACTATGAAATTCACTTGCTTTCTGAGGATCAAACTTCAAGATCTTTAAGCTTCATGACTTGACTATAACCTCAATCATTGATCTAGCGTTCAGTGACTTATACTTCAGTCGATTCATGACAGTGTCTCGCTGTTAATCAATGCTATTGATAAGTCTAAGATTATTCTCAATCTAGAAAAGAAGATTAATAATATAGGGGTGTATAAGATGTGAAAGTATTTTAGATAACACCTAGGATCAATAAACATTTTCTATGTTACACCTGGGTAATAGAAATTCATTTTTAAGTTGTTCAGAATCAAAGAGATTATTTGAATAGGTATAAATTTAAACAATTGTCTACTTATATTTTTGATTATTTCTTCATTAATCTAAACATATCAAGGTCAATGAGGACTGACCTTCACGGATAATAATGATGGCAGCAATGGTATATTGATGTACTTAGAATGTTCAACTGTCAATTGTACATACTGTATAAGATTGAAATGCAGTAAATGTTAAATTAGTTATGAGTTCATTATGTTCAGTTAGTTTCTTATGTTGTCTACTATGAACTGTGAGGGTCAAATATTATCAAAGATATGTGTATGTAGATTCCTGATGATTGTTTTACTGAACAATTTCTTAGGAAATCGTACAACTGAAACGACAAGAAATTAACTATCTAAGCCTGAAATCATGTCAACAAATACATTTGAAGGAAATATTTGAGTTAGTAAACAGTTTTTAAACCTCAATAACTGAAAGTTCTTGTCTGTTATAATGAATTTATTACCATACCCAAATTAATTTCGCCTGCTACACCTAGTGGAGCATAGGCCATCAACCAGCATATCTAAGCTACTCTATCCTGAGCCTTCCTTTCTAGTTCTGTCCAACTGTTGTTCCTTCTTCTCATATCTGTCTCTATTTCTCCAGCTGATGTGTTCTTTGGCCTAGCACTTTTCATTTGACCTTGAAGATTCCAGGTGAGGGCTTGCCTTATGATTCATTTTTTTAATGCTTTCTTCAATGTGTATTCTATCCACTTCCAGAGCTTCTTCCTGATTTCTTCCTCCACTAGAGGAATCTAGTTTGTTCACCCCCACAGTAGATTATTACTAATAGTATCTGGCCAACGGATCCGAAGAATTTTACATAGAAATAGATATGTTTCAGTCTAAAACATACATTGTAAAATCCATTTTTGAAGGTTTTGTTTGTGAAAATCCCTCCATGTATAATACATTTGTAATATGTCTTTACTGATTCCTTCAGTTGTACATTTAGTTTGTTAGTCTGTTCGATTCCATTTTTGAGATGATAACATTTGTATTATATTATAGTTTCTATTTCTTCTGCCTTCATTGAGTTTCTATGTTTCTTTCTGAACTGCATTTATGTTGTTTAAGCTGATACTTAGTCATGGTGACGGCCATATTGATTTGTTCCTCTTTTGATTGAGATGCTTACTTTGACTGGAATTGTGCATTTTGATTGTGAATTGAAACACTCTTTGTTATAAAGCTAGCAAATATTATCTGTCGAACGAATCTGATCAATACAGGAGGGATAGAATATCATTTATTTGCGGCTGTTGATTAATTGAACAATAGTGGGTGGAATAACTAACTGAATGGTAATATTTGTTTAGGTAATGATGTATATTTATATTTATGATGAATATTATAACCGTCATTTACCCAAATCACCTTGTTTTGGATTTAAACTGGGCAATAACGCGTATCTAAACTACCTAGACAAGTTATGCTTCAGTCCAAACCTCGGTCTCATAGAATATTTAAACAATCAGACTGGATTATTTTAAAAACATCATTGTAACATATAAATAAATAACACAATAGAGTAGCTCACTTGATTCAAACTTTCTCAGGAAAAATTGATCCAACACTTTCGTATCATTATTTTTGATTGCTGTTCAATTTTCAATTTCAAGAAAAAATCATCAACAATTTCTGTTTTTTTATTTATTTAAAAATCATCATAATCCATTCGTTTATTTTTCCGGAAAAAATTTTTTTTTACATCCTTTCGTCTAAAAAAAAGTGAATTTTTACAATGTGTTGTGTCAAACGACGAAATTCAACAGTTTGCAAATGTAAGTTATTAGTAGTCCGTTCCTTTTTTCTAAAAAAAAGAATAATTAAAATTATCGATTTGATTGGTTGAGTCGAAATTCCGATTGAATCAAGTCAACGTGTCTGTCTGTCTATCTATCTATTTATCTATCGATATCTACTTGTCTGTCTTCATTTTTTTAAAATGATCATGATGTGTTTGTGTATTGATAATGATAAGAAGCAGTGTGTGCCATGTAAAATTGATTTTGATTTTATTATTGGAAATAGATTACGATGTAAATGTGAGTGAGAAGAAGATATAGCATCAAAATATTTCAATTATTTTCACCAACCGAGAAATAAATGGATACGGGTGAAACTGTGATGGCACTGACTGAGTCGGTAGTCGATTGTGTGTGTGTGTGTGTGTGTGAAAGTCAATCATTGAGATTAAACAGAAACACGTAATACAATGTATAGCACTGTAAGATTAAAAAGCATAGGAGTATGCACAAATAAAATTACACAACGCTCGAAAAAAAAGATACAAAAATCAAATACCTAATTATATAACCTGCGCGAAGAATAAATATATCGAAATAGGGAAAGTGAAATGCAGTTAGAAATTTCTTTAAAAATAATCATTTAAACATTC